GCATGTGCATGGCCTAGTCAACTTCCTGAACAGTCTTCCTCTGCACAACAGAAAGCATGTAGAAAATCTAATTGTGTGAAAAAAGTAGAAAAATTACAAGAAAAACGAGAAAAAAGGAGACTACAACAGCAAGAACTTAGAGAAAAAAGAGCCCAGGATGTTGATGCTACAAACCCAAATTATGAAATTATGTGTATGATCAGAGACTTTAGAGGAAGTTTGGATTATAGACCATTAACAACAGCAGATCCTATTGATGAACACAGGATATGTGTTTGTGTAAGAAAACGACCACTCAATAAAAAGGAACTCAAATGAAAGATCTTGATGTCATCACAATTCCTAGTAAAGATGTTGTGATGGTACATGAACCAAAACAAAAAAGTAGATTTAATAAGGTACCTAGAAAACCAAACATTTCGTTTTGATTATGCCTTTGATGACTCAGCTCCTAATGAAATGGTTTACAGGTTTACAGCTAGACCACTAGTGGAGACTATATTCGAAAGGGGAATGGCTACATGCTTTGCTTACTGACAGACTGGAAGTGGAAAAACTCATACTATGGGAGGTGACTTTTCAGGAAAGGACCAAGATTCTTCTAAAGGAATTTATGCATTAGCAGCTCGAGATGTCTTTTTAATGTTAAAGAAGACAAACTACAAAAAGTTGGAACTTCAAGTGTATGCAACCTTTTTTGAAATTTATAATGGAAAGGTGTTTGACTTGCTCAACAGGAAAACAAAATTACGAGTGCTAGAAGATGGAAAACAGAAGGTTCAAGTAGTGGGATTACAGGAACGGGAGGTCAAGTGTGTTGAAGACGTACTGAAACTGATTGACATAGGCAACAGTTGCAGAACATCCGGTCAAACATCTGCAAATGCACATTCATCTCAGAGCCATGCAGTGTTTCAGATTATTCTTAGGAGAAAAGGGAAACTACATGGAAAATTTTCTCATCGATTTGGCTGGGAATGAAAGAGGAGCTGATACTTACAGTGCAGACAGGCAAACTAGGCTGGAAGGTGCTAAAATTAGTAAAAGCCTTTTAGCACTCAAGGAGTGCTTCAGACACTTAGGTAGAAATAAACCTCATACTCCTTTCTGAGCAAGTAAACTCACTCAGGTGTTAAGAGATTCATTCATAGGTGAAAACTCTCGTACCTGCATGATTGCAACAATCTCTCCAGGAATGGCATCCTGTGAAAATACTCTTAATACATTAAGATACGCAAATAGGGTGAAAGAACTGAATGTGGATTCAACCGCTGCTGGTGATGTTTGCTCAATAATGCATCATTCACCAAATCAGATTGATGACTTAGCAGCCCAGTGGGGGGTAGGGCACTCCCCTCAGAGAGACGATCTAAAACTCCTTTGTGAACAAAATGAAGAAGAGGTTTCTCCACAACTGTTTACTTTCCATGAAGCTGTCTCACAAATGGTAGAAATAGAAGAACAGGTCGTGGGAGATCACAGAGCAGTGTTCCAGGAATCTATTCGATGGCTAGAAGATGAAAAGACTCTCCTAGAGATAACTGAAGAAGTAGACTATGATGTAGATTTCTGGGCTACGCAACTTGAAGCTATTCTGGAGCAAAAAATAGACATTTTAGCCTAGCTGTGGGATAAAGTGAAATCTTTTCGTGCAGCTCTACAAGAAGAACAGGCCAGCAAGCAAATCAACCCGCAGAGACCCTGTGCCCTTTAGATTGTCATCTGCTGCTAAAGGACCCCCAGAACCCTCACTACTGTAACATATGATGGTTCAGCTGTAAGGGCCATTTGAAAGTTTTAAGTTTTAAGTGTCTCTGGAAAATGTCTTGTCCCTTTACCTGAATGACATTTCAATTTTGTGAAACATAACTTTGTATACAAAATGCTTCTATTCCAGGAGGCACAACCAAGATTTGGGAATAGTGAAGCATTTTGTTTCATTTACCCAAATAGTGATTTATTTTTGGAGATCTTTGCCAATTTTACTTTCTGTATGATGAAGTAAGATTGTGGACTTGATCCAGAGGTGAATAGTAGGGGGGAAGCCACAGCATTTCCTTTTAACTTGTTTCCATTTTTGTAGCAAGACTGAGTAGTTTTAAATCCTTTGCATGCATGCATACCTCATCAGTGACTGTACATAACCTTGCCCACTTCTAGAGACAGCTGTGCTCACCTCCTCTTGCTTTGTGCCTTGACAAAGGCTATTGACCCTAAATTTCTGAAGCACAGCCAAGATGAATTACATGCCTTTTTTGTCATTGTAAATTACCTTTATTGTGTGTACATTTTTACTGTATTTGAGACATTTTTTGTGTGTGACTAGTTAAGTTTGCAGGATGTGCCATATCATTGAATGGAACTGAAGTCTGTGACAGTGGACATAGCTGCTGGACCACTCCATATTCTATGTAAAGAAATCTGGGGTCCGGCCGAGTGGC